ATACTGTAGTGTGTCTCTTCTTTCATCTTTCGACTTCAAACTTCTATAGCTTCTCCTATTTAACTTTACTACTCTGCAAGACAAACTTTTAGCTAAAATATTAGAACCATCTGCTTTAGCTTTCTGCTACTTATTGCCTTAAAGGTCTTATGGGGCTATACACCACACGCTTCTGTTTTAAACTAATATTTTACTGAGTTTCCTTGAGTTTAGTGCTTGTTTTGTAAAAAAGTTTTTTGCTCTGATATTAGTTTTGGTGATCAGCAGAAAGAGTGAGTATAGTCTGTGATCTGTATAGACTATATTTAATGATTAAGTAATTTAACATATTATAGTGTTTTAGAGATTATATGATTTATACTGTATTTAGGGATTTAGACCTATTTGATTTAATAACTATATACTAATAAATATTGCAATTCATTTTTTCTCATGTGAATAAAAATTATGTATGTGTAAATATTAATCATGCTGATCACAAATATTTGCTTTCCCAAAGCTGTAACACTAGTAATAAAATTGAGTGTAATACAGATATTCGATCAGTCATGTAAGTACTATTACTTTGTAATATATATTACATACTATACCAAAGAAGAAAATCGAAAAAGCTTATAAATTAAAAGCAACAGAAGATTGAGCAACTCCTGGCTCATACTAATTAATTCGTGAATAAATTGATCACCAAACCTGAAATTAGTTTTATACTTATCTGATTTTTATATATTACGCTATATATTACAGAAATTCAGAGACTCAACCTTTTAGATCATTGTTTAATGTGCATATATTAATAAATTTTTAATATAATTCTAACCACTTACCTTCTCTTTTCAATTTCTATTCCATATGAAATTTTTTATTTTAGATTACCTAGTTCGAGATGTGATAAAAATTATACTTCTTTAGAATGCTATACTAGGATTATCTGATGATTAATTTGGTTATGATAGCTAATGATACTAATCACTGTTGAGTTGCAGTTGAGTTGCAGTATTTTTTTTCTATATAATTCTATGAAAAATAGGTGTATTGCAGTTGAGTCGTGTTAGAATCTTAGTGATGTGGACCAACGATCAATTGTACTTATTAATTGCTGAAAGAAGAAATAGAAATACCAAGTATCATGATATTCCTAGAAGTAGTAAGGTGAGTTTTTGAAATAATATTGCGAATATAATTAATAAGAGAATTAGTACCAACTATACAGGATATTAATACAGGGTAAATTTCAAAATCTTGTAAGGGATCACACTATAAGTATTTTTACTAAAGGCACTTATTAACAGATTGAACTATAATTAGGTTATAACCTAATAATTTTCTTGATCTTCTTTAGTTGATATGCCAATATATGGTAGGAAATCGTGCAGGGCATAGAACCAGAACTGGAGTATGATACTTTGAGGAATTCTGTTTATATTTTTAGGAGAGACTAGGTAAGGTTCTATATTAATCTCGAACATTCATTAGTCTTTGCTGTAGGTGTCTTTGAAATAAAAACAAATTATTGTTAATTATATATAAAAAAATCTAGAAACATAGTTTGATTAGATATATAATGTAAACACATCCTCAAGAAGAAGAAGAGAAGAAAGATGACAAAACTACACTCTACCACCAACTTACAAAGAAGTTTTATCAATACTAAATATGAGTCACTGTGAATCTCCTGCTGGTCAAAGAGATCGATCTATATCTCTAGCTTAGAGAATTCTCACCAGAAAAGACAAAACTACTAATCGAGATAATATAAATAATGTAAATAATGCGAATGGGAATTCAGGCTATAACACTAATGATGTAGGTAGAAATTTAGATAATGCAATATACTCATCTTTATCTAATTTAGTAAATACTACCTCAACCCCTAATATATTTGCATCACAAAATAATAGTGATATTAGTATGCTTGATATAGAAGGTAGCCAACTACCTTCCTATATAGAAAATATAAATGAAGAGGATTAGCCTTATAATTGTTTTTAGAGGTAGCTTCCCTAAGCTATAAATATTCCTACATCCTATAATAATTGTATAATGACAATAAATAATTCAAATTTTGATCTATTAGATAATTCGGTCATATATAAAATATTGCATGGATGTTTACCCAACATTGATTTTACGTATTGTACTTTCAGATTCGCTATAAAAATAAATATTCAAAAGAAATGCCTGCAAACAAATATGTGCATTATTTTAGACGCAAACCATCCTCATACTATGAGATATAACCATATTAAAAAAATAATCGGTATAAATTATGATGTGTACAGTACTTCAGTATTTATGTGTTACTGTAGAATTTTTTTCTATTACCGTCTTAAGATCACTAGCAACAAAATCTTCAGACTTCCAATAAGATCAAATATATTCTTGAGTTTGAGTTTTAGTAAATAAACAGGTTCCACTCTGGGTTTTGTGCTAGAGAATATATATTCAAAAAATTGTTAGATTAATATACAAATTTTTTTTATTGCGAATAGTAATATAATTTTCTCAGTAAATATATTTGAATTACTTTATGTAATTTAGTTCAGGAAGTTTAAAACTATGAAGTCTGCATCACCTTCCACCTCACACATGCCTCACACTAAGGATAACGATCATGTCTAAGATAAAGAAAAAAATATAACTCTGAATAGAGAAAGAACAGTCAGATCCTAGGCTTGCATTAAAAGGTGAAAACTGCTCTTAAGAAGACTATACTATAAAACTAAATATAATAGATACTTTACATACTTTTAGAAGATTATAAAATATATTCGTTTCTTTGATCTAATTAGCACTAGAATTGAGTGTAGAATCACTTTCTCCAATGATTAGGCTATCAGATTTTTCAATTTTAGCTTTTTTTATAGTACGTAGTTCTTTCTTATGCAAATTTCTCTTGGAGGCTTTCGATATAGTAGATATATTTTGTAATAACATAATGTTGATACAAGTATATAATTTATAAAAACAAAAATAAAAATTTTTAAGATGTTCTCTTGAAAACTAACAAATTCGGAACAGAACTTTGTAGTGAGAATAACCCTTTTATTATAAATCACGACTTATTCTTATTTAGTACATAACAATCTGATATAAAGCAATATACAATATAAATGACTTGGCATTGCAATAATCCAACACGAGTTAACTAACAATTTTTATTTGGTGTCATAATAATTACTAATAAACAAACAATTGCATGTTTATTAAATTCGGCACTACAATTATTGAACAGGGTAAATTAACAAACAATTGCATATTTTCTATAATTGGGATTAGATTGTTAGCAGATATTTTGGTTATACAGGGTATAGTAATAATTTTACACGCTATCTCTCAAGCCTGATTTACAAATTTAGAATAAGCGCTATGCACTTCTTTATTTATGCTATTATATTAATCAAATATCTAGCATCACATTTTTTTACCATTGATAGCTATCAAAAATAACCTTACAGCTGTTGGTTATATTGATCCATGCTAGAAAAAATAAGTACATATTATTTATGGTCCTGCAGGTCTGCTTTTATTTTGGCCTAGGTCAAAGCTAAAATAGCAATAAAAACTTGACTAGCTTTAATAATCAATAGCCTACATTAAACTTTATGCAGTATTACCTTAATTTCTCACAGTCAATTTTTTTATTAATGAATACTGTATTACAAATGCAAATAATGTCTAGACTCTTTTCCTTATTTTATATGATCTCGTGATAAGAATAAGACTTAAAAAAGCTATAAGAGCAATGAGTATAATATTCTTTATTAGTATTTTTATCAAAATTCATATATCACAGGAACTTAGCATTCTCAGATCGTCGAGATCATTAACTTTTTTTACATCACAGGAGAGATCATCAAATATAAGAGGTCTAATTTTATCAGAAAAATAACAAAATAGAATCAGTATATAGAACTTATAGCCGAATAAACTTGTTTTATATGATGGGATCTAGTTTGTATTAGGTAACGTAATTACTAATCATATATTTTTCTAGCAAGTTTTTTAGATCTAGTGAATAGAGGTATAAAAATAAACAAGTTTCTACCTTAAGATAAGTTAGCAATAACGATATTTTTTGTTTATATATTTTTTACTTAATTTACTTACCGAAAATTTTTTAAAAAAGTAATATTTTTGCTATTTAATAGTCTATAAAAATGAATTTTACTTACTATATTTTTTATTTAGAACTGTGAAATGAGCACTAAAGATACCACTACTCCCAAGACTAACAATGCCACTACCTCCAAGATTAACGATACTACTACCTCAAGACTAACAATGCTACTACCCCTAAGACTAATAATAGCACCTTCCTAAGACTAACGATAATACCACTCCCAACTATTCTAAATCAAAGTGACAATACAAGCTAAGAAAATTTTTATCTTGTAAGTAAACTTCATACTGTACCAGTACATTTGTGCTGAAATATAATTATTAGAATTAAGTTTTTTATTTTACTAAAAATTAGATGATGAGATCTGGAGAAAAATGTCGAAAAAAAACTTAGAGCGTGATGAGGAAAATGATGATAATGATTAGTTGAACCCTAGTCAATGAAAGGAAATATTAGATCAAATGTAAACCCTACCAATCTAACCTGTTAAGAGCATTTTTTATTATATAATAAATATATATTTTATTTGTATAATGTTCAGCAACAATATTTTATTAAATAAAGAAGGGGGGTTCTGTGGGCTCACTATTTTTTTTAACTGATTGTGTGAATGGGCTCTACTTATTAACCTATGCTTTTACTGTTACTATTGGGATTGAATTTTGATATTTATTTATATAACAATAGAGACGATAAGTTTTTGTATTAATATAATCACCACTTCCAGGTCTTTAGGTGGAATAGAAATTGATAATCGAAGTTTGGATGGTGTAGGCTATGAGATACATGGGTTGGATAATCTAGTATTAGAATTTCTAAATATTTTAGTTAATTTTTCTAGACCCGAAGAGACATTGCTTCACAATAGAAAAAAATATCAAGAATACCAACTTGAAGCATTCTATGAACATTGCCTATATCAGCTGATTGTTTATAGACCTGAAAGGGAATCGAAGATTTGATGCTCTGCATTATTGCTTCACAATAATAAGTAAATATCTTATTTATCTTTTCAAGACATGAAGTATTCTGCTTTGCAGATTCCAATTCTATTTTGATAACAGTTACTGACTTTATATATTAATAGTTTTTTATAAGAATGTGACCTCAAGGTTATATACTATATTACATAAGGTGAAGTATGTGACACAGTAGTCACATGACATTGTGACCTGTGGGGTCATGTACTACATTATATGAGGCACAGTAGTTATATATAATATATTATATTATGATTACAGTCAATGAAATTTGCCTGACCCAAGGTCAGCGAAATTTTTTTGCTAATTAGCTTTTGAATATATCTAATTTCTATATAAAATAATGTTAAACACAATCGATTTACTGAAAGAATTAAATTTCAAGCTCTTAGCTGAGATTACTGAACTTAGAAAGAAGTTTGCAGAAGTCGAAGCTAAGAATGCAGAACTAAAACAAGCTATAGAAGAAAATGCAGTGCTCAAGATCCGATTTGAAGAACTAAAAAAGAAACATCAAACAGATACTACCAAACTTACTGCTGAGAATACCGAGCTGAAAGATAGAGTTACAAAATTGGAACAAATGCGAACTCTAGTCACTATTAATAACCAAAATGCATCTTCTACAAAAGATAAGAAATCTATTATTACCGTTTCTACACCTGAACCAATACACAGTTCAACCCAGATACAGAAAGGTGAGTCTAAATATTTATTTTAATCTCCAACAGAGCCTGTAACATCTATAATGTCTTCACAACAAGATATTGTTGATGATAATTTGGCTAGTAGCCTTGAATTCATAGAAATGATACATAAAGAAAATATTGCACCTACTATTTCTTATGAGCGAAAGAAAGAACAAGGCTTAATTCAGGAAATAACTGCAGGTAATAGCCAGGATGATACATCCCCATTTACCCAAGTTCATGACTCCATATCTCAGGAATATGCAACTGAAATTTTGCTGTCTTCAGGTCAGGAAAAATCGAGCATCTTCCAAAATATCGCCCACTTATATGAAAAAGCATGTGATGCGGAACATGAATCAATAAAAGCTAATCAGGCTGAAATTTTATGCTGGAGTAATTTTATTATAGTACTTGACAAAAGTCTTGATGAACTCATGGTTAGGGATAAAGTAAGTATAAAAAAAGCTAAAGGTCAAGTTTATTGCACAAAATCCTGGTACTAGGCGCGAATCACTATATAAGAAAATTGAAAGAGCTAGAAAAATTTACAGGTTATTCGAAAAAATAGGTCTAGATAAAGTAAAATATATTAAGTCATATAGCGCGAATGCTATTTCGAAATTTACCAATGAACAGATTCAAACGATTATTGATCATTTTACTAAAAATCCCACCAAAGAATTCATCGATGACCAGGACAATTCTTCAGATGACTTACCCAAAACTGATGTAGATGAGAAAACTTTACCGAAAATTGAGGTGAGTACACTAACCATACCTCAGCCCAAGCTTCAAATTTCAGCAGAATTAGCACAGTCAAAAGCCTCCTACGCTCCTCCAAAACTCTTCCCATTCAAGAGAAAGCTATCAAAAGAGATGCGTAATCCAGTTATTAATAAACTAACTTCACATTTTACTGACTCACCAAAGTTAGATAAAAATTGTAGTATCGATACTGAAGGTGAGCATCAAACTGATTCCTATTGGGTTCTCGGTTCACATTGCCCACTATGTAGAGAAAATCATATGAGTTTAAATGGTAAGTGGTGGCTAGATAGTCGAAATAAAAATACATATTATTTACATTGCACTAATTTAAAAGAGCCAGGAATTCCATACGATGATGTACTAAAAGCATATTCTAGTAATTTGGAACTAATTCAAGAGTTAAAAACTCAAAGCTTCACAATACCCATCCCTTGGAATAATGCTCTTATCTTATCAGATAAAAGTATAGTAGTGGAAGCATAGTCACTGTATAACCTTGTCTATAACAAGAAATCATGATTAACGATAATATATATATTATTACGTATTTATCATATCAATAAAGAGTTAGATCATCAATCCACATCACTAAGATTCTAACGCGTTTCAACCGCGACTCAACTGAGGTATGACTTTTTTCATATAATTATATAAGAAAAATTCAACCGCGACACAACCGCGACTCAACTACAACTCAACTGAAGTATTTGGACTAAGCGATCTTAAATGAAAATAATAATCATTATAGTGCATCAAATATATCGATCTACTGGCAATCGTGAACGATTTGCAAATAAGTAGCTAAGCTTAATTCGATTAAAAGTCTAATTTAGAAATGTTGAATAAGATAGTCATATTTTGTATTGAATTTAGATACTTACTAGCCGATTTTAAAATTAGGGGTTTCAACATTAAAACTAGAGAATCTCAATTTATTTTTTTTCGATTTATAGCGAAGCTAGTGTCTTTGACACATAATTTACATAGTAAAAACGCTATTTAAAATTCTATGCCTTGGCATGAGCTCCGCTCTACTTATTTCGATACGCAACTTATTAATTTCGAATCTTAATAACCCCTTAATTATCAAGGTTATTGCCACAACTGCAACATCTCGATGGTGATGCCGATTGTTAGTGATCTTTGAGATGGCTGATCTGGCAAGCTCATAGATATACAATTAAATTTTATAAGCAATCAGGTTTTAAATTATCTCGATATTCGTATCTATCTACGGTAAGTAGCCAATACAGTATTATGCTCCTTCTTGAGTTTCATAACATATTTAGTTAGTGCAATAATAAAAAAAGATATTTTTATACTGATCGTCATGCACTTTAATCGAGACAAAAGCGAACACTCATACAATAGATAAATATAGTAATATGTGTTGCATATTGTGATTTTAAGTGCAGAAATTTACATTTTTACTGCGTTTAATGTATTGACCAATTAATTATGAGATTTAGCATATGTACAACATTAAAAATGCCTTATAACCATACAATTGAACATAGCTGCCGCACCAATTTTGTCACGGATGATTCTCGATTTTGATTGGCTAACGGCCGTGATCTACAAAATTTTGGCCCGCATTACATAATTGTTTACATAATTTTTGGCCGGAATTAACTTTTAACTTTTCATTCCCAAAATGGAAATTTTTAGATAAATAGGCCCGCACAATGGTAAAATTAGCCCAGGAATATTTTTCACTTAATGTGCGGCTGTGGTTTCATTAGTAAAATTTTGAGTAACTTTGGCCTAAATTATTGATCGTCACTTTTAGCCAATCAAAATCAAGAGATCGTCGCTCATAGCCAATCAAAATCAAGAATCATCTGTGACAAAATTGGTGTGGTAGCTAGGTTCAATAACTATACACTTCGTGAAATTTTCAGGTACTTTAGAGATGCCTCCTTGAGGCATATCACTCTGCCAAATGCAACAGGAAGAAACGTCATATCATTTGCAGATCTATTACACAATTCATAAAGAACTTTTTTATATTGTTTTAAAGTACTTTTTCAGAAAGCTCACATTACTTCCTCTATTTTGAAATGTAAAGTAGCATTTTGTAAAATTGAAGGTTTAAAGCAGTATTTTAATAATATTGAGTAAATCCTAGTGAATCTCACAACTTTTATATATAGTTTTGCCTATAAAAGATCTATATAAAATGAAGGAATGCACTAACTGCTAAGCCACTGAATCTTGTAAATTCCGTGTGTTGAAGGATAAAAAGTGGAACGAAGCTAAAAATAATAGTTTGGTAAAAGAAACGTGAGTAGAAGGTATTATTTTATGTAATGCTTATTACATAGAATTAGTACAAAACCTATTAAGCAGAGATTCAAAGAAAACAAGAATCACTGAAGAACAGGTAAGTATGTTAGAGGAGGTAGAAGAAGGGAGTAAGATCAACTTTACTAAGGCTATTAAGTCTATAGTTAAAATTTTTTATAAGAGGGAATATGTAAAAAAGGAAGCTCCTATATATGTTTTTGATGAGATGCAAGGATTATTTCAAAAAACTAACCTAACTTTTGAAGATTTTTTTAAACAGCTTTATTCTGCAGCTCGGCCACTTAAATGTAATGAGCAAACAATAGGCTATATGAAGAAATTAATGATTTTAATATGTTATCTTCTTGCCTCTTTGAATAATACAAAAATTAACTCCTTTAAGTTTGATCTTGCATTTTATCTAGATTTAACAGGAACAAGTAAAGAAGGCTTGAATACAATGGCGAATCTCAGCATTACCATAACGTCGTAGGTAGTAGGTCAGCATAAAAGAAGGATATCAGGAGTACATGAAAAATATGCAGAGAATGTACTTTTTCAGCAATTGGAGAATGCACTTGTGCTAAATATTGACGACTATCATAATATCCACGTCTTACAGTAGCCTAACACTACAGCTACTTCTAGACCAATACATATGGCAACAATTTTAATAAACTTATGTTTAAGACCTGCAATATCATGTAATAGAATAGTTAATTCAAGATTCATAGATAGCTATTTGATTATGAAACATCTTGATAAACGATTTATTGTAAATCTTGATATTTCATATCATAATTGAATGTGAAGCAGGAAAAAAGCTTGTACTAATGAAGAAGTATTAGATAGACTAACAGTATATAGCTATGATGATAGACTTACAGAGAAAAAGAATGATCGATATATATACAACTCAATTCTTGTTGATTTTATTAAAAAAGAATTGAAAAATATAGAAAAATATATTGATATCCTTCGAATTGTATATGACTAAGAGTCAATGCGACTGTATCTTTCTAATTATACTGTTCCTACTATTGTAAATTGGTCTGAGTAATGTTTTATCTGTAAAGCTATTGCATAATGGCTTCTTCTCAATAATGAAGTATCTCTCAGTTTGTTATGTCATTTTTGCCTATTTTAGAGCCTCTTCATGTATCTCTGAATTCTCGTGAACTCATTTACAAAAAAATTTTTTATTATTTAGTAACATCTACAAGAAAGTATTCGGAACAAAGAAGAAACTTGGTCAGAATTCATGACCATGGAGAATTAATTTAATTCTCAATATTGTATGCTTGGTGTGGTCTAATATTGTGGATATAGTTTATTCAAAATTTTGGTTTATATGTAAAAACATTGAATTTTTATATCTTACTAATTTATTTAGCAATTTAGTTCTCTTAGTTCTTGATGTTTACACTATACACTATCAGAGTAGAGATTGGCTATCATATGAGAAAGCATGCATATATTGTTGGAGTGACCTTTTCCTACGATTCAATTGAAGAATTTATAAGCATGCTCCCTTAATGTTTTTTTCGGATGTTTTTTATTGGATGGAAACTGGCTATCTAATAATGAATTTAATTACTAACCATCTTGCTTCTCTTAGTGATAGTCTTGTTGAAATTGCCCACAGTATTATTCGAAGATGTACTATTAAGTCTTATATAGCAGAGCAATTACAAAAAAAGGTGCATTTCATTTTCTAACAATGATATGACAATACTTTTTAACAAAATTTCATGAATTCCATGAAGTATCCATATATGCTAAAACAGTTAGATATGCTTTCTCAAAAATGTTCTATATCGCTTTTAGAAATATTTGTAAAAGTATATCAGAATCGTGACAAATATCCTATTGTTAAATCTATAAGTGATGATAGTATCAATACATATGAGTTACTCTCATTAGGATTTGAAATAACAGATCATCACCTTCTGAAAGGTTTTGTTATTTTGAAAAAACCTAATATGTCTTTTTTATATGACTTATTGTATTGCAATAGGACCTATAATTTGTCCAATAGTTACATTTTAGCATGTGAGCATGGTTACCATAATCATTGCCTACAAAAATCTCACTTTAAATGTTCTATTTGTTTAGGTTATCTTCAAGGTGAAGTCAAGAAAAATGTCGATGCACTAATAGTAAGTATGACTAGTGATTTAGTCAATGTTAGAATTGATGATAGAAATAAGGATGATGATGAAGATAATTCAGGTAATACAGATAAAACAATAGGTAATGTGATTGATGTAGAAAAGTTATTAAAATATGTAAAATTAACATTCGTGAATTTGTAATAAATAAATAAATAAATAATTTTTGAATTGTGAATTATATTATTATTTAATTATAATCGTATTTTATTAGTATATATTATTTAATTATAATCATATTTACTATATTACGTATAAATTATTTGATCGATATTAAATATGCAGACTGTCAATTACATGTTGGTTTGTGTAACTTTTGATGTTTTCCTCTGTTGCCAAATGCTCCAAGTAGTGTAGTTACACTGCATAAAAAATTATAAAAATATGATTTCCCTATGATTTGGCCTAAAAATATCAACTTATATTGATCTATATATATCAATATTTTTCTGTATCCCTGGTGTCATACTGTTTTCAAAAAAAAATATGTCTAGAACACTTATTTCTCCTTTGATAAAATCTACTTTTCACTGTAGCTGTCACAAGAGTATACAACCTCATTTATTATCAATATTCAAAAGAGTCTGCTCTTATAGTCGAAGTAATATAGAAAGACTTGATATGTTAAAAAAGGTTCATTTGCTATCCTGAATTTATTGCATAAAAAATATTATTGTTTTAATCTAGCTTTCTTGTAGGTTTACTTACCTCTCTTAACCTATAAAGAAGAAACACAAGAATGGTCCAAACTTATTAAATCTGGAAAAGTTTGAGAGGACTACTTTCGCCTATTTGAGTAGCATACACAAGATTACTATATAATTTCTAATTTCTTGTAATTTTCATGTGAAAATACTAACTTCTTATCAATCTTTAGACTTTCAGGCTGAATATACCGATTTTTTGAAAGCAATTGATAGCCTCAAAGCCTCCTCAAGAATTTCATCTGTAGACATTTTAAAAGGACTGACTGTAAGTTTTGCACAGCATAGTTATACCTAAAAGGAAATACATTGAAACTAGCAGAAACACAAAAAGTTTGGAACATGCTGAAGAAGAATTTTAGCTTGAATGACTTTCTAAAAAATATAGACACGCCATTACCTGCACTAAGTTCTCTTTCTGATAAACTAGAAAATGAAGTTATCAAAGTTCAAAATCATCTACTAGCAACCTATTTTCTATATAATACTTTTTATAAGTTAGATCATGAAATTAACCTTGATGGTATCAAAATGGTCTATCGCATTATGTTAAAAGATATATCTCTAGAGAGAATTAAATTTGGTGAGGATTTCTAACATGCAGGTGAGTTTTGAAAGACAGAAGTAGAAGTACATAGTTCAATATACACTGTTTATCTAGTAAGCTCTATTAACATTATTTTGAGATTCATTTAAGATTTGATTATTAATTACTTCATATTTCCTGTAACTTCTACTAGAAGTCCCCGCATTGATGGAAAGATTCATACAATTTCGAGACAAGAACCAAAATAGTAGTCTTCATCCTCTCATAATCGCTAGTCGTATACTTTTGATCTTCCTTTATATTAATCCATTTGCAGATGGTAATGGGCATATTAGATATTCAATTATGGTATTATATCTCATACGCAATAGGCTTTTACCCATTGTTTTCTAAGATATTCCATGAGAAGAATACACATCTACTTTATTTCTAGCACAAGCAGAAAAGGATTCGATTCTACTATATGCTTTGGTTGTGCAAAACATCTTTAATATTTTAATGAGATATCAAGCATAGATCTGTTTATACTTTGACCTTAGTAAATGAATATATCATAATTTAATATGAAAAAATTGTAATCAAAAAAAAGAAATTAATCTTTTGTCAAAACAAACAATAACAATAATGCTAGCTTGGTTTATATTTTGAGACATCATGATTTTTAAATAACTTTTTTTCTAAAAAATTATATACATTGATATTTGTCTTTCGAACTGTTTTCAGCACTAGAAGATCAACCTTTTTTAATGCTATAATCTATAAATTTACGTATCATTTTGTCTAGCAATTAAAAGCTAATGATCACTTTTCTAAGAAAATTCTAGTATATATCGATAACTATATAATAAAATATATTTGGGACTCTTTAATTGAACCTAGCTGCCACACAAAAATGTGCGGATAATCCTCGATTTTGATTAGCTAAGAGTGATGATCAAAAATTTTAGCCAGAATTACTCAAAATTTTATTAATAAAATCATTGCTGCGTATTAAGTGAAAATTGTTCCTAGGCTGATTTTAATATAGCACGAACCTATTTCTTTGAAAATTTATATTTTTAGAATAAAAAAGTTAAAAAGTTAATTCCGGCCAGAATTGAGTAAACAATTATATAATGCAGACCAAAATTTTGCAGATATACAGCTGTTAGCTAATCAAAATCAAGGATCATCCATGTATTTTTTGTGTAGCAGCTAGGTTCAATGACACATTAAGAATAGTTAACCCAATAATTGATAATCATATGATAAACATATTTGTTTACCAAAATTAAACAAACTGGCCTAAACTACACTTTAATCTAGCTCTAATCTGCCCTAACTTAGGCTGAATAATAGGCATGTGATATTGTGATAAGCACTAGGTTAACTTATACATTCATTATGATATCGATTGACACAGAAGGCTTTGACAAAAATTTTATACAATTTGATTTATTGTTATTATCAAATCACTTATTTTTATACTATTCGAGAATTTTCACACTCGCATTGTCTATATATTCTATCTACTACTTTTTTGCATGTTTTACAATACAGATATGAATAGTGATTGTATTCATCACAGACCTTATACCCGTGCTTCTAACCTCTAAAGATATGCCACTTTTTGAAGCAATTTTGTTTATCTTTACATATGAGTATGCTATTCTGACCTTTCATTGTTATATATTGACAGAAAAAATATAATGTGGCTAAAATTTTTTTATTATACAAACCTGCCCCACTTTACATGCATAAACCTTAGATCAAGATCTGTATATGTTAATTGAATGCCTATCTCTATATTTAACAATATTGCAGTATTGGTATGTATAAACTTTATTATGAATTAAATTATATACTGTAATTATATGTAT